ATCGTACTCGTCGGCATTTCAAAAGGGAGCATGAGGAAGGACATACTCGGGTGTTCAACGACTACTTCTCCGACAATCCAGTCTTCCCGGTAGATAAATTCCGCTAGAGATTTTGAATGAGAAGAGAATTATTCATTTGAATTACTGAAGCCCTTCAAAATCACTCAACATATTTTACGTTGCGGGCTAATGCAATAGGTGCAAATGGTCTTTCTCCTATTCAGAAAGTTACTACTGCTATTCGACAGTTAGCGTATGGAACTCCGACTGACTCTTGCGATGAGTATATCCGGATTGGAGAATCCTGTGAAACAGAATGCCTGGAAAATTTTTGCAAGTACATGATTGAGATTTTTAGGCCATGATATTTGAGAAGACCCATTGCTGAAGACGTAGAATGCCTGCTACATATGCATGAAGAATGCCATGGTTTTCCTGGTATGCTCGGGAGTATTGATTTTATGCACTGGGAGTGAAAAAATTGTCCCGTAGGATGAAAAGTCTAATTTACTCGAGGTGATATTGGATGTCCTACTGTAATACTAGAAGCAGTAGCATTAGCTGACTTATGGATATGGCATGCCTTTTTTGGAATTACTGGGTCTAACAATGATATCAATGTGCTCAACCAATCTCCTGTTTTTCATTGCATGGCCATGCTCCCGATGTCCAATTTACGGTCAATGGGACACAATATAACAAGGGTTACATTTTAGCTGATAGTATTTATCTCGAGTGGGCAAAAATTATGAAGAGTTTCACATGCCCAATGGATGAGAAAAGGAGTTTATTTAAGAAAATGCAAGAGGCTGCTAGGAAAGATGTTGAACGAGCATTCGGTGTGCTCCAGTCTCGTTGGGCTATCATCCGCCGTAAAGCTTGACTTTGGAGTCGCGTGACACTGAAGGAAACAATGTATGCGTGCATCATATTACATAATATGATTATAGAAGATGAAAGAGATGACACAATAAATTGGTATGATGATAATGATAGAGGTCGTGTCAATCCAACTGAAGAAGCCCCTGAAAATTTCCAATGTTATCTCGAACGGACCTCGGAACTCTGTGACTGTCCAACACATCATAAACTTTGAGGAGATTGAATTGAACATATTTGGACACGGTTTGGTGCCGATGGTGGTGGTAATTAATGTATTATGTTTTAAAAATTTGTGCTCATTTTATTTTGATTTATGTTGTTAGTTGTGATTGTAACTTTTAATTTTCATGTATTATTTGATGTAATGTTTATGTATTTTTTAATTTTTTTTTGGTATTATTTAGTGTCATGTTTGTGTATTCTTTTTCCTTTGTGTAATGTGATATCTACTTTTTAAATTTCAATTAATTAGCTAATTTTAATTAATTAATTAATTAATTAACTTTCTAATACTAATAACTTATGTAACTTTCTAATAATTATTTATTTTTCTAATATTAATTACTTAATTAATCTAAATTTATTTGCTTTCTAATATTTATAATTTGAAATAAAATTAAGGTGATTTTATAGTGGGTCCATGGTGGGTCCTTTTATAAACTTTGGCATAAACTAGAATGGTTTATGCTATTGTGGAATAGAGTGTAATGAAATAAATTAATGATTGTTTTTAGTGAAATGCTGATGTGAAAAATTTATAGAATGTATGAGAATTTATTGGTAAAGATGCTCTTAGAAGACTCATGTATGTAAAAGAAGCCCAACACTTGCAATCTTTAGTGCACTGGTCCTTGCATTGGACCAAACTCATTGGCCCATTTCCCACATTATAAGTACTCGTGTAGTGTTCAACTCCATCAACCTTGTAATAGTTCACATTGGAATTACCTCCTTTGCAAGGTAGCTAGTAAGTAGTAACAATGGTGGTGCCCTAAGCCTTGCTCCACCCTAACAAACCTTGTGGCTTAGGGCACGCGATGCATTGGTCATTTTTGCAAATGCCAAGCGATCCGCACCTTCTCGGCATCCTACACTCAGTAGTCCAGCCTATGGTCCTAACAAACAGCACGAAGGTAACCTCCCATGGTTGCAAAACTGCATTGTTCTCGTCGTAGGTGTATCTATTTCAATTCGAATGAAACTGAAGGTGGTGTTGTACTTCGGCCTAGCTAATAGAGCGGATCCGGAGCTTGGAGATCCAGTCATGTTGTAATGGAAGCCGAGCTCATAGGTATGGTTTCCGTCATTTTCGGGTGAAGAGAAGAAATCGAGAATCGCCAAAGCACCTTTGCCACTGCCGAATTCATCTGATTTATAGTACAAGATAGGCTTCTGTGAATTCGGGGTCTGGTAATACATTGCCCAATTTCGTTTCTCCATCACGAAACTGTACGGACCGTTGGCCTGTTGAGCCACCGACATTCGACTCACAAGCTTGGTCGGCCCGGTGGCCTTTAAGGCTTGACCAACCATGAGCGTATCGGTTGGATAATCAAAACTTTGCCAAACGAATCTCTTTTTACTATCATAGAACACCAAGTTACCGTTCTCGAGTAGTTCCAGGCCGACCACACCCTTATTGGCGGTGCCGGTTTGCCAAGCCACCTTGCCGTCGGCGTCAGCTAAGACCAGATTTCCGTCGCGGCCGAATGTCAGCGTTACATTTTCTCCGACCGGCTTCCCGAGGTTGGCATCCTAAACCCATCGCCGGGTGGCCATGCGGAGTCCAAGGATGTAGGCATATGGGTGGTGTTATAGAAGGCAAACTGGAAGGCGCGAGATGCGATGGGAAGGTATCGGTAATTGGCATCGCATTCGTTTCTGTATTCCCCGAATTCGCCTTCGTTAACGTACTTGAAGGTTTGGTTTGCAGGAACAAGTGATTGGGTTGCTACCAGTAAGCTGAAAAAGGCCACACAAAATGAGATAAACTGGGGACGTAAATTCAGGAAAGAAGCTGCATATCCATTTATAGCAACAAATCGCATAGTGCTTGATTTATTTACTTTTTTAAATCAAAATCAAGTTGCCTTCTTGTAGCCACTTCTTGTTTTGTAACCTTTAATGGTATTTGAATTTCAACGGTAGTCTACGGGTGGACTTTTTACCAATTATCTTCATTAGTTCTTCGAGGTACGTATATGTATATATATCCACATCTTTGACTTTTCACAATAAGTGATTGCTTCAAGATTGTTATTTGTGGCCAGTTCACCAATCAATACCTAGCACATGCAGTGGGGGAGCCAGAAAATCCATATAGGGGGCAAAATGTAGAAAACAACTTCTAATGAGCTAGAAAATCAATATAGAGGGTGTGAAAAATTATAAATACATAGTTTTCTATTAAAAATTTATGATATCTCTACTAATTAGAATAAATTGAGCAAGTTCGACCGCATCCCTCTGCCCCCAGCTCCGCCACTGAGCACATGGAGTTATCGAATTGTTTTAACCACTTGTATTTGGATGAGTTAAATAAAAAACACAGTTGCCGTTATGATTAGTCTATCTTAATGTAACCACTTGTATTAGAATTAGAACAACTTAATTGGGTGTCTCTAACTTCTCTTCAAACCGTGAACAAAAAAAGAACTCTTCTGGCAAGATTAAATCTTCTTAAGCTAAAATCGAGTCCATGTGATGTGAAGGGATAAAAATTCGATTTAAAATATGAAAAATGTTAATTCTAAACAAAAGAACTTGGACTACTTAACATCACTACATTTATTCAAATTTATTGTAAGCACTTAGATCTTTGTGCCCGCCCGTTTTCAGTCTGTTCGATTATGTCTCAGTAAAAGGAGGCGAAAAATACCCATAGAGCTCAATAAGTAAACAAGCTAAATATGCCTTCGAAGAAATCATACCAGGCAATAAAAATTAAACAAGTTGATCGGGGTCAAACTTATTTATAAGTAACTATGTGTTTCTTCTTTCTTATTTGGAATTCATCCACTTCGCCTCATTGCGTCCAGCATAAAAATACAACTTTTAGAACTTTGTGCTAGCTAGCTCTTGTATATGAATCAATCAAGACGCGCTAACTGTTGCATGTTTCGCAAGCTTGGAAGTTTGATTTTCTTACTAAGGATTACAGCTGCCATCGTAAATAAACTATTGCCCATATGGCCTTTCTCCAATCATGATTATCCACTCTTTATACGTATCAATTATAATGACATTAATAACTAATGATGGAATAATGTGCAAGTAGACGATGAATGTATAGTGATGATGATGTGTTCATGACTAGAACACTAGATATTATGGTTATTATTTTGCAGGAATTGACATGTATTAATTGAGTTCAAACTTCAAAAATGATAGAAAATTAAAATCGAATCAACTAAAACAATGATCGTCAACATAAATTGGAACAACCCTTAATATCCAATCATGGCCACATTAGATAAGCATAGGAAGGGGGAAAAAACAAAAAAAAGAAAAAAGAAAAAAGGACTAATTCATATCAAACAGGTTTTCTTCCCTTTTTAGATTTGCATTTTCACTCAGTATTAAATTGTTCAGTTATGGGTTTTTTTAAAAAAATCCACTTGCTCGAATTTCGGCGGGTGGGTAAAAAAGGTTTAGTGATTAGAACATTGTAGTCTTTTTTTCAAAAAACGTATATATATAAACTGAATTTTTCTTTAATTTAGGTACCAAAATATGAAACGCAAGAACAGATATGACTCTAATTTTAGGAAAAATACAACATAATCAATCCAATGCTTACGATACTTACTACCTATCACTGATAAATTTAATTGCAAAGTTACAAAGCAATTAAAAATTTGTCCTTAAAATGTAGACATATAAAAGCATAAATGTGGCAAACATATATAAACATGTCAAAAATTACTTCGAATTACGTGTTGTAGTTCGCATTTCGCAATATTATACTTGAATTTTGATCAAGTAAAGCATGAATAATAAAGATGAATTATGGTGGGAAAAAACAAAAACAAAACAAACTAATAACGAAGCACACAGGCAAGCAGATCACAAGATCATAATAAGATTCAGAAGCATTTATCCCGGTCGAACCCGTGTGACTACTTAGAAATCTTGATATAACCGGTATAGGTGGAGTTTGGAACCTTGACCAAAGTACCCAAAACAGGCACCAACAAGCATTTGGAAGTCTTCCGCTGGTAGAAGAAACCCAAACACTTGCAGTCTTTGGTGCATACCACCTTGCATTGAGCCAAACTCATTGGTCCACTTCCCGGATTGAATTCACTTGTGTAGTGTTCAACTCCATCAACCTTGTAATAGTCCACCATTGAGCCAGCTTTGCATGGTAGCAGAGCTGGTGGTGCACAAGTCTTGCTCCACCCTAACAATCCTTGCTGCTTAGGGCACGCGACGCATTGATCGTCCTCACACACGCCGAGTGATCCGCACCTCCTCGGCAAATTGCACTCGCTTGCCCTACCTTCATCACGATCGAATAGCACGAAAGTAATCTCCCATGCTTGATTATCGACAATGTCGTCGTAGGTGTATATTCTCAAGTTTCCGTCAATGTCAACTCGAAGAAAACTATATGTCGTGTTATATTTAGGCCTTGTCAATGTATCTGACCCACCGCCTTGCGATCCAGGCATTGTACTCTGGAGACCAGTGTTGAATGCATGATTCCAGTCATTTTCTGGAGTACTGAAGAATTCAAGAGATGCCAAAGTGCCGTTGCCATTGCCGAATTCTTTTGATCTGGAGTACACCAAAGGCTTTTGTGAATTTGGGCTCTGATAGTACATTGCCCAGTTTTGCTTCTCCATCACGAAACTGTAAGGACCGTTGACCGGTTGAGCAACCGACAATCGGCTCACAAGCCTGGTCGATCTGGGGGCCTTCAAGGCTTGACCCACCAAAAGCGTATCGGTTGGATAATCAAAGCTTTGCCAAACGAATTTCTTCTTGCTATCATATAATACCAAGTTACCATTCTCGAGTAGTTCCAGGCCGACTACACCTTTATTGGCGGTGCCGGTTTGCCAAGCCACCTTGCCATCGGCGTCAGCTAAGACCAAATTTCCGTCGCGGCCAAAGGTCAGCGTCGCGTTTTCCTTGACTGGTTTTCCGCGGTTGGCGTCCCAAACCCAACGCCGGACGGACTCAGAAAACGCGACGGCCATACGCAGCCCGAGGATGTAGGCATTTGGGGTGGTGTTATAGAAAGCAAACTGGAAGGGATGAGTTGCGATGGGTATTGCTCGGTAACTGGCATCGTATTCATTGATGAAAAAACCGAAATCGCCTTGGTTAACGTACTTGAAGGTTTCGTTTGCGGGAACAACTGATTGGGTTGCTACGAGTAAGCTGAAAAAGGCCACACAAAATGATATAAATGTGTTTGAAGGAGACATGTTTATAAGCATACAAATACAATCTACCCGAGATAGAAACTAGATAGGATATGAATTCAGGAAACAATAAGCGTTTCTACTTATAGGCAGTAGTCCAAAGACTAAACATTAGAGCAAGTCACTAATAACAATTTAAGATGAGCAAGTTGCCTTGTAAGGAAACCGTACATAATTTCGTGTCACTTTCTGCTTTCTGGCCCTTAATGGCGTTTGAATGTCAAAGTTGATTTCACAACACTTAAATTACATAAATAAGTACGCCTATAATAATGATTAATTAGTTAATTAAAAGAAAGTCAATGGTGGGCTTTTTTACCAACCATCTCTCCACTAACAAGCCATATCCACATCTTTGACTCTACATTTAGTGAGTGCTGCAAGATAACTATTCCTAGCCAGTTCATCCTTACCTAGCGAGCATGGTTGAGTTTATTAAATTGTTTTATAAACTCTAGTTTTCATGGACTTTAGATCTTTATATATATTCAATAATTTTTTTGTTATAAAAATTGTTGTGTTTAGCTAGTCTAGCAACCATTCGCATTAGAATTAGCCCTAACGCGTTGGTCTGTCAGTTATCATGCAAGCAAACCGGGGGGCGAGGGGGTGGAACGTCTTGGTAAGATTCTTCTTGAACTTAAGTCGTTTTTCATATGATGTGAGGTGGAAACACGATTTAGAATAATTGTCTTATATATTTTATATGTTTTAGAAAATGAGTGGGATTAGTCACTGTTATCGACGGTGAACAATATAAAAAAAATACAAAAATTAGAAATCATTTCCGATGACAGAAACCAGGAATTTAATGAAGTAGATTTGAAAAGTATAAATAATACACAAAAAAAGGTATTGAGATGTAACAAGATAAGAAACCAGAGCATTACTTTGAATAATGTACGTGTGAGTGTTGTGGGGATCTTTCTTTCTTTCTTTTTTTTTTTTTTAAATAAAACATAATGCCACGGAATAACCGACCTCTCTTCCTCTGCATATGTCGGATGAGTTCTTGCGGTGATACTTCTTTTCTTTTTAATTCTTTTGTAGTCGTGAAAAATTACCTAATAAACATGTGCTTCGTTGGTTTAACACAATCGGTTTGGACTTCGTACCTCATATTCGTATTCTAAACATTAGTTTGAGGCGTTGACTTGAAATTTTAAAGTGTAACTTAACAATAGAAAGTAATGCAACTTTATTTTTTCGATAAAAAAAAGTAATGCAGCTTTTTCCCCAAACTTTTGTTATTTATAAAATTTTTATGGGTGATAAAATATAACAATAGTTCAAAATACATTTTGGATTAGTCACAACAATGACTTCAGACACCGGGTGCGTAATATAAGGAAAAAAAATACATTTTGGATTTACTAATAGAAAAGATTAATTAAGTTAAAGTATATTGGTATTTCTTTTTGAAAGGGAGTGCGGAAGTTCTTTCTTACTAATCTTTTTGTATATTAAAGTACAAGTACTCTATAAAAATAAAAAAACAGAAGGCTGGAACCACAGCGGTCGGCCACTCTTACCCTTTGAACATAATTATTTTAAGATAGAGAGATTATAAAATGATTTATGTTAAGGGATTATGATACACGAATCCAATGTATGTTTATGTAGCTACCTACTTTCTTTCGCTGATACATTTGATTGCAAAAGTTGAAAAGAAATGAAAAATGGATCCATCGACATAATTTACATATATAATTTTGGGCTATGTCTACAATACTTGCAAACTATGGCGGGCAAGCACCATATTTGTTAAGGGCGAGTGAAAAAAATCGGTTGCGGCTTACGGTTCAAGTTTTAAGCAATAAAATGATGCAACTTATAACCTGAAATTACATTGGTAATTTGATACGTACAACATGAAGAATGAATTACAAATTGGCTGCGGTAAAAACAAAAGCAAAACAAAATCATGCAAATTATTACAGACTAACACATCAAAAGATCACCAAATTCATTCTACTTAGAGATCTTGATATAGCCGGTATGAGCAGAATTCGGAACCTTAACCAAAGTGCCCAAATCAGAGACAAACAAACACTTAGAAGACTCCTGTCTGTAAAAGAAGCCCGCGCACTTGCAGTCTTTGCTGCACTGGTCCTTGCATTGGACCAAACTCAATGGTCCATCTCCCACATTATAAGCACTAGTATAGTGTTCAACTCCATCAACCTTGTAATAGTCCACCCTTGATCCTCTTTTGTTACATGGTGGCAACACTGGAGGTGCGCAAGTCTTGCTCCACTTTAACAACCCTTGTGGCTTAGGGCATGCGATGCATTGGTCGTTTTTGCAAATGCCGAGCGATCCGCACCTCCTCGGCATTCTACACTGGGTAGTCCAACCTTTGTCCTTGTCGAAGAGCACGAAGGGAACCCCCCATGATAGCCAATTTTCAGTGTCGTCGTAGGTGTAGATTCTCAAGTTACCATCTATCTCAACTCGAAGGAAACTGTAGGTGGTGTCGTACTTCGGCCTAGCTAAAATTGCCGATCCGAAGATTGGAGATCCAGTCATGTTGTAATGGAATCCGAGCTCATAGGAATGATTCCCACCATTTTCGTGTGAGGAGTAGAAATCGAGAATCGCCAAAGTACCTTTGCCATTGCCGAATTGATGTGATCTGTAGTACAAGATAGGCTTTTGTGAATTCGGGGTCTGGTAATACATTGCCCAATTTTGTTTCTCCATCACGAAACTGTATGGACCGTTGACCGGTTGAGCCACCGACATTCGGCTCACAAGCCTGGTCGGCCCGGTGGCCTTTAAGGCTTGGTCCACCATGAGTGTATCGGTTGGATAATCAAAGCTTTGCCAAAGGAATCTCTTTTTACTATCATACAATACTAAGTTGCCACTAAAGAGGATTTCCAGGCCAACCACGCCCTTATTGGCTGTGCCGGTTTGCCAAACCACCTTGCCATCGGCGTCAGCTAAGACCAAATTTCCATCCCGGCCGAAGGTCAGCGTTGCGTTATCACGGACCGGCTTCCCGCGGTTGGCCTCCCAAATCCAGCGACGGGTGGCCTCGGAACCTATGGAGCCCATGCGGAGTCCAAGGATATAGGCATTTGGGGTGGTGTTATAGAAGGCAAACTGGAAAGGGTGAGTTGCGAGGGGAAGGATTCGGTAATTTGCATCGTATTCGTTACTGTATTCCCCGAATTCGCCTTGGTTCACGTACTTGAAGGTTTCGTTTGCAGGAACAAGAGATTGGGTTGCTACCAGTAAGCTGAAAAAGGCCACACAAAATGAGATAAACGTGTACTTTGAAGGAGACATGTTTAGCTAAAAATATAGAAGAAACTGGGATGTGAATTCAGGAAAAGAAGCTACACATCCATTTATAGCCACTAATGGGGTAGTGCTTGATTTATTTATGTTTTTAATCAAAATCAAGTTGCCTTTCTTGTTGCCTGGTTTCGTGCCACTTCTTGTTTTGTAGCCTTTAATGGTATTTGAATTTGGATGGTAGTCTACGAGTTGACTTTTTAGCATTAATTATCTTCATTCTAATTCTTCATGGTACAGTATATGTATATCGACATCTTTGACTTTTCCCAATGATTGATAGCTTCAAGATTGTTATTTGTGGCCAGTTCATCAATCCCTACCTAGCACATGGAGTTATCGAATTGGTTAAACTACTTGTATTTGGATGGGTTAAATAAAAACACACACTTGCAGTTATGATTAGTCTCTTAATAAAACCACTTGTATTAGAAATAGCCCAACTTAGTGGTCTGTAACTTATCTTCAAACCGTGAACAAATAAAAAAGAAGTTTTTTTGGTCATATTCTTCTAGAACTCAAATCGAGTCAATGTGATGTGAAGTGGTGGAAATGTGATTTAAAATATGGAAATTAATTCTGGGGGACTTATACTAACATCACTGTATTCAAATTAATTGTATGCAATTAGATATTTGCCTGGCCCGTTTTCGGTCTATATTCCATTATGTGATTATGTCTCAGTACGAGGAGTTTAAAAAAAATGCTCATGAAGCTCAATAACTAAGATGAAATCATACAAGGCAACAAAATTTAGACAGGTTCTGGGTCCATCATATTATCAATAACCTTCAGTTTCTTTTCTTATGTGGGATCCATCCACTTTTCCTCAATTTGTGTCCAACATGAGTTGATAAAGAAACAAAATTTTTGTAACTTTGTGCTAGCTAGTTCTTGTATAGGAATTGATCAATACACGCTAAGTGTTGCTTGTTTTGCAAGCTTAGAAGTTTGATCCATTTACTGAGGATTACAGCTACCATTATAGTCATATTGCCCATAGTGAGCATGGTTGAGTTTATTGAATCGCGGTTTATAACCTTCAGTTTTTGGTAGACTTTGAACTTTTCAGTAATTTATATGTAATTGCTCCTTTCATTATGAAATGATTGTCCAATTTAGAATTATATTTTTAGTAAAATTTGTACTAAAAATAAATAGCTAAATTGGACGATTATTTTGAGATAGAAGAATATTTTTATTTGAATGGTTAAAAAGAAAGCAAAATTGCTCTGTAGGCAATCATTCGCATTAGAATTAGCCCTAAGTACACATTAGTCTCTCACTTATCAAGCAAGCAGACTGGGAAAGAAACAGAGAGAACGTCTTAATTAATTTGGTAAGATTCCTTTTGAACCTAAGTCGATTTCATATGATGTGAGGTTAAAATACGATTTAGAAAGTACAACTCTAGAGAAGACTTGGACTAGTAATATAGTAGAGTTGTTTTTAATTTTAAGTACACGATGTCAAAATTACTATTTCAATTAGAAGCCGGTGGATGGTCATGTACGAGTTTAATATAACATTATGTTTAACTTATCAACTATTGGAGTCTTTCTTCTTCTTTATCGCTTGCTCAGAATTAAAGCGATTGCCTACATTTTAAATAAGATGTTCTTTTCAGCCACAAAAAAATAAAAAATAATAGAAAAGGAAGATTTTCAACGTTTTTACCTTACACCCTTTTTTTTTTTCATACGGCGTCTACTTCTTTTCCTCTTCTTTTTTTTTTTATTTTTTATACTTCACATGTAGAAAAAGAAAAAAATAATTATAACAATTATATTAACAATCATAAGTAAATAGCATAAAAATTTGTGAAAATGATCACCTCAAAAAATTTAGGTTAATTGTGAGCAGTAACAAATTAAACCTTCAATTTTGCACCACATGCAAAGAGACACTAACTACGAAAGTGTGACGTCATTTTATATCCTTAATTAATGGATTTAAATAGGAGTGTTCAACCGGCTGGTTAATCGGTTTACCGGTTAATCAGTTTCAGTTAATTCTGAATTTGTCAATTTTAGATAAAAACGATTAACCGACCGATTAAGTAATGGATTTTACGGTTTCGGTTTATCGATTTTCGGTTTAATTACCGGTTTAACCGAAACTATTTTTCATATTTTTTGGAGAAAATATAAGTGATGTTTTTCTAACTTTTTTAACTTTGTTTTTCTAATTTATGTAGTTCATACTATATGTTTAGACCTATTAAATACTGAAAATCTTTTTTAAACTCTTAATCTACAATAAAATAATCAAACCTTTCCTTTTTTATAGTAGTTCATCCAAACAAAAAGCATGTTATTATTACAACAAAGATTTTTTGTGAAATAATTTGACAAAATGAAAAATATTAATGATATAGAAATTTGAGATATAGATATAGTTTTTCAATTATAATTACTATAGTCGGTTATTCGGTTTAACCGACAAAGGTGCAAGCAAAACCAAAAACCGAACCAATTAACCGGTGAAAAAACCGTTTACCCGAAACCTATTAACCGATTAACCAATTGTTCGGTTAATCAGCTCGGTTTTATGCCGGTTATTGGTTTGGTTAATCGGTGTCGTTTTTTTAGCACCCCTAGTTATAAATTATCCATATAGCATAAAGATAGTACCCTTAAGGCCTTAACATGAACTAACTAAAAAGTCATCAAGGGCGCTTGAGAAGTAAATGGACCTATATAAGTATATATAGTATTATCCTTAAATATGTGCTTACTGACCCTGAAGAAGCGGGTTGATGCCCTATCATCTTTTTCTAATTTCCTTTCAGTTATATTGAGGGTATAGACAAGTTTAATTACACACAAATTTACAAAGTGCTATCATCTATTTTTTTATTTTTTATTTATTTTGGTAAACTAAAGTGCAATCATCTTTAATTATTTCAACTACCAAAATATAAAATCGTTATGAAGACTATGAAGTTTGAGTAAGCCAAAAAGGCTGGTCAGCAGTTTGACCAAACATGGAGTTTCCAATAGTAGGTGTATATATTTTCCGAATATCTCAAAGTCATTGCCTTATATGTTGTATTAAAACAAAATACAAAAACCGAAAAAGTATTTCTAGTGACAAAACCAGGAATTTCATGAAGTAGCTGAGATTGTGCGAAAAGTATAAATGCAAGAAAGGCGCATCGGCAACGCTGACCACCCTCTCTCTTCGTCTATGAATATTTCGGGTGAGGGGACTATAAAACGATCTTTAACATACGAGTCCAATGTATGCTTCCTAGCTACCTACGTTCTAGATGATAAATTTGATTGAAAAAAGTTCAAAAGAAATTAACAGTTGATCCTTAGAAACTTGACATATATATAATTACTACATATGTCTACATTTTACAACACTGTGGCCGGCCAGCACCATTTTGTTAAGGCGCGAGTGAAAAAAATCTGTTGCCACTGCGATTACGTATGACTTTCAAGATGCAAATTATAACTTGAAATTACATTTATACTTTGACAAAAGTACAACAAGAAGAATTACGACAATTTGGCTGTGCCAGAAGAAACAAAAGGAAAACAGAACAAAGAATCACGCAAACAGACTAACACATCACAAGATCATCAGATTCATAAACAGCAACACCCGTGTGTGTGTGTCTACTTGGAAATCTTGATATAGCCGGAGTGAGCGGAGTTAGGAACCTTAACCAAAGTACCCAAATCAGGGACCAACAAACACTTGGAAGACTCTTGTTTGTAAAAGAATCCCAAACACTTGCAGTCTTTTGTGCATTGATCCTTACATTGCGCCAGACTCATTGGTCCACTTCCCGGATTGAATTCACTTGTGTAGTGCTCAACTCCATCAACCTTGTAATAGTCCACCTTTGAGCCAACTTTATTGCATGGTGGAAGCACCGGTGCTGCACAAGTCTTGCTCCATCCCAACAATCCTTGTGGCTTAGGGCACGCGACGCATTGGTCGTCCTCGCACAAGCCGAGCGATCCGCACCTCCTCGGCAGCTTGCACTCGGTTTCCCTGCCTTCATCACGGTCAAATAGCACGAAAGTAATCTCCCATGCTTGATAATCTACAATGTCGTCATAGGTGTATACTCTCAAGTTTCCGTCGATATCAACTCGAAGGAAACTGTAAGTCGCGTTGTATTTAGGCCTTGTTATAACAGATGTCCCTCCACTATCCGACCCGGACATCGTAATCTGGAAACCGATCTCGAATGAATGGTTGTCATCTTGTGGGGAACAATACATTTGAAGAGATGCCAAAGCACCTTTACCATCCCCGAATTGATCCGATCTGTAGTACACCAAAGGCTTTTGTGAATTTGGGGTCTGGTAATACATTGCCCAATTTAGTTTCTCCATTACGAAACTGTATGGACCGTTGACCGGTTGAGCCGCCGACAATCGGCTCACCAGCTTGTTCGGTCCGGTGGCCTTGAAGGCTTGGCCCACCATGAGCGTATCGGTTGGATAATCAAAGCTTTGCCAAACGAATTTCTTCTTGCTGTCGTACAATACCAAGTTACCGTTGCCGAGTAGTTCCAGGCCGACCACGCCCTTATTGGCGGTGCCGGTTTGCCAAGCCACCTTGCCGTCGGCGTCGGCTAAGACCAGATTTCCGTCGCGGCCGAATGTTAGCGTTGCATTTTCCCGGACCGGCTTTCCTCGGTTGGCGTCCCAAATCCAGCGCCGGACGGACTCGGATCGTGAGACGGCCATGCGGAGCCCAAGGATGTAGGCATTTGGGGTGGTGTTATAGAAGGCAAACTGGAAAGGGTGAGTTGCGATAGGAATGACTCGATAATCAGCATCGTATTCATTGATGAATTCGCCGAATTCGCCTTGGTTGACGTATTTAAAGGTTTGTGAAGCAGGAACAAGTGATTGTGTTGCAATGAATAAGCTGAAAAAGACCACACAAAATGAGATTAATGTGCCCGAAGGAGACATGTTTGGCACAATGTATATCTACCTGAGATATTATACAGAAACTGGGATGTGAATTCAGGAGAAAAGATAAGCATTTCTATTTATACAGCATCAATGGGATACGTACCAACACATCAGAATAATAATTTAAGATAAGCAAGTTGCCTGATGAAGAAAACCGTTCGTAATTTCGTGTCACTTTCTCTTTCGTGGCCCTTAGGTGGCGTTTGAATGTCAAACTTTTTCTCACACGCCATAGTGACAATTAATTTCTTTTTCTAAAAAAACCCCAAGGGTTGACTTTTTACTAACCATCTTGATTGTGGAATGTATATATGATCCACATCTTTGGCTGGTTCAAGGTAAAAGATTCCATTATTCCTAGCCAGTTCATCCTTACCAAGTGAGCATGTTTGAGCAATTTGATTTTTATAAATTTTTAGTTTTTCAATACTTGCATTTTTATATATAGCCTCGCAACGAATTATCTGAATTAGCGCTCCTATATGGTGTGTTCAAAAAATTAAACCAGGAGTGAAAGTCTTACTTTGGTAAGATTCCTCTTGAATTCAAAACGATTTCCATGTGATGCGACGTGGAAGTACGATTCATAATAAGCAAAATTCAGAGAAGACTTGGACTAATGGTAGTAGTATGACATGGTTTTGTAAGCGATTGGAGTGGTTCTTTACAGCTCTCCTGCTTTACCTTTTGTTATATTTTTTGCCATCATTGACTTTTTCTTTCCTTTACCACTCAAAATTGAAGCGAATGCGTAGTTGTTATACTCTAATTGGCAACGAAAAAAGACTAATTTAAAACAGCAAGCATGACATAAAAAATCTCAAAAAACTTCGCTCATGTAAAAATTAAATGGCATTTGTTTACTGTGACATTTTCCCTTATTTTATGAAAATGAAAAAAAAAAGACCCTTAACATTACATAAAAAGTCAACGGGGCACTTGTGATAAGTAAATGGAACTATGGATTATTAGTCATCATGTGCCCCCACCAGTGCTGGCGGGTTGTTGATGGTGATTATTTTATTACTAATCATATAAGTTATATGGATCTTATACACAATCATTATCTTCATTTTTTTTCCTTTTTTTTTAATTTATAAATGAGGATAATAATGTCTGTGTAATTGGGCAAGAGAGAATATGGAACTTGTCATCACCTCTCTGCAATCGCACAATTTTGTTCAAATTTTCATTACAGGCAGCTCTACACCACTTGCGGAGTTTTATATGATGGCCTTTAGTCAGCAGCACTCAACACTTATCATCAATTGTTCATTCCTTCTCAAAATTATCATATTTAATTTTAAGATAGAAGCGTACAAGACTGATTTTATTTTTCATTTTATTAGATACAATACCAAGAACTTTACAATATCAAAAGTAGTAACCAAATACATAGACGAGAGACCCAATGTCTACTTGGAAATCTTGATATAACCAGTATGACTGGCGTTTGGAACCTTAACCAAAGTACCCAAATCAGACACCAACAAACATTTGGGAAACTCCTCTATCCTAAAAAACAAGCCCAAACACTTGCAATCTTTACTGCATCGGTCCTTGCATTGAGCTAGATTAATTGGTCCAATTCCCTCATCATAAGCGCTTGTGTAATGGTCAACCCCTTCAACCTCATAATAGTCCACATTAGAACCTCCGTTGCATGTCGGAAGCGCCGGTGGTGCACAAGTCTTGTTCCATCCCAACAAACCTTGTGGCTTAGGGCACGCAACGCACTGGTCGTCTTCGCACACGCCGAGTAATCCGCACCTCCTCGGCAGCTTGCACTCGGTTGTCCATCCGTCATCCCGATCGAAGAGAACGAATGTTACCTCCCATGCTTGATAATCTACAAATGTATCATAGGTGTAAATCCTTAAGTTGCCATCTATGTCAACTCGAAGCATACTGTACGTGCTGTTGTACTTTGGCCTTGTTAAAATAAACGTTCCGAAACTTTGGGAACCAGTCAAATTAAAGCGGAAGCCAAGCTCGAAAGCATGATTCTCGTCATTTTCTGGCTCACAATAAAAATCAAGAGTAGCCAAAGCTCCTTTACCATCACCGAAATCGTCCGTTTTGTAATAAAGCAATGGCTTTTGTGAATTATTGCTCTGATAATACATAGCCCAATAACGTTTCTCCATCACAAAACTATAAGGCCCGTTGACTGGTTGAGCGGCCGACAACCGGCTCACTAGCCTAGTGGGTCCGGTGGCCTTTATAGCTTGGCCCACCAAGAGCGTATCAGTTGGATGATCAAAACTTTGCCACACAAAATTACCTTTTGTATCATACAACACCAAATTACCATTTGGGAGAAGGCTAAGACCAACCACACCCTTGTTGGCGGTGCCAGTTTGCCACACCACCTTGCCATCAACGTCAGCTAAGACCAAATTTCCGTCACTTCCAAACGTGAGTGTTGCATTTTCGCGAACTGGACTCCCGCGATTGGCGTCCCAAACCCAACGCATGATGGACTCGGAACGCCGGTCGCCCATCCGGAGTCCTAATATGAAGACATTGGGGGTGGTGTTGTAGAAACTAAGCGTGAAGGGAAAAGTTGCAATGGGTAACAATCGGTAATCGGCGTCATACTCAACAATGTATTCGCCAAATGGGCCCTGGTTAATGTACTTGAATGTTTTTGAGGGGGGGACAACTGATTGAGATGCTACAAGTAGACTGAAGAAAGCAATGGAGAATGAAATAAACGTGCTCGAATAAGACATGGTTAATCTACTCTGGATAGAAACTGGAATCTGATTTCTGATTTTCTGTATAAGAAGTTGCATGTCTATTTATAGAAATTAATCCTACACCAAACAAAAACATGCAAAGTTGCCCTTCACTGCCTTGTCCGGACACGTGTTTTCGGGTCACTCTTTTGCTTTGTGAACTAAAATTCAAAGTTTGACTTGTATAAAGTATAAACCATTTTTTTTCCCCTGAAGGAAACAATATTCCTTGAGGGAATATCCATCCATGTCTTTGACTTTTCAAATTTGTAGTGCACATTATTCATTCGGCTATCTTATCTTCTGACTGATATGTTTTCAATTACATTAATTATTTTTAATATTTCTGGTGTAAAAATGATTAATCAGTTTGAATTTCTTTACTCCAAACGAAAATTCAATCCAAATAATCATTTTATGATGAAGGCTTATATTAAAAATAAAAACTCAAATTAAACAATTATTTTAGTACTAAAGGAACTTGGAATATATAATGAAAGATCGAGACAAATTTTAAGAAGATCAAAATATAAAATGTTCAAAAATGTTTGTTGGATGATATCTTAGAACTAAAAGTTCACTTCCTCATACTTAGAGCGACAACAAACTAATCGGATTTCGAGGGTCTAAGAAATTGTTCATCTTTAAACTGGAGACAAGGTGAAAGAAGCTCTCCATACAAAACAATGATGAGGACAACTTTTCCAAGTATGTCTACCGTTATACATCCTCCAATTGATTATACAATAATTTTTATACTTTCTTTGAGTAAGAATTCATTTCCGCTTCACTAAAAAAACAAATTAAAACACTTTTTCATACAAGTTGGATCAGCATAATGATCAAACCATTGTCACACTATATTAGTTTGATCTTCAAGCACCCAGCTGGTTACAGGTGTTGATTCAACGTCAATGTCGCGTAGACTTGCAATATCACGCAACGGACACAATCGGATATGATCTTCTTATTAATATTTAATAATAAACAAAATGAAGGTTAAGATAGTGTAATAAAAAGCGTACAAGAATAAACTTGTTAACAAGAGAAGCAATTAGTCCAAATAATTATATCATATGATAAGATGAAACGACTCGATCATGGATAATTTCTTGACCAGTGAAGCAAGATGTGCCTTTATTTATCGAAGTTTCTTATTTTAAAAATTAAAACATTGATATGTGTCCCTCTGATAATGGTGTCCAGATCATATGATGCTAATCGTATAAATTAAAAATTGTATAATCTGCCTCGATCCATTTCTTATCCGTTTATCTATTTTCAGCCCTTGCCACATCTTCCCTTCATGATTGTGTAATTTAATTCCTCGTGGTAGACATGGGAGGAATTGGATTATTCGTTGAGTTGCACTGTATTTTTACAACTTATAACATTTTTTCACAATTTATTTTTATTCAATTTAGACTAGAAAGAGGGAATGCAAAAGTTGTCCATACAAGCCACGGTTTTGTTTTTAGAGTGACGCTTTACATATTTTCCAAACCTTTTCAAGGAATGCTTTTTTTTCATATATTGCCGAATATGAAACTGGATATTATCACCATATGAGAACTTTTCTTCCAAATTAAATAAAATGCGAGAAACTTTCACCATTGGCAACATTCGACAAAATCAAAATGGCATAGAGAAGTTATAAATTATTTGACCAACAATCTTACATTTTAAAGTGTTTATTACAATTCGACCAAAAAACAAATAAATCTTACGTTCTGCACTCTGAAGTGTATGAAACAAAACAACTAGTATAAATCCTTTCCCAAAAAAAAAAAAAAAACAACTACTATAAATTATAAAATCTAAAGTCTAACACTCGGAAACTGGCAAGACATGTTGTAACTCGGATCTTTGATAGTTTGAGCAGCAAGACCATTGAAAAAGCAATATGTCCCATTGTTCCTATTTTTAGCCCAATAAGAACTAAACACGTAACTTGCATGTAGAAGGAATCTGTTGGGCTTATAACATATTCCACCAGGCTTAATGGCTGCACAAATCTTCTTGTCATCTCCACAAATGGAGTCCATAGCCCTCCTTAATTCCCTCAAATTTGCACCTTCAGATACCACACACCAAATCTTACCTTTATAAGGCTGATTGTTAGTAGGCTTAGGCAAGGGCTTATAAGTCCAGAGCGATGTCTTCCCGGACAAATCTATACCATAAACATTGTCCCCGCTAGGGTACAACAACCCGAAATGCCGCTCCGTTGTTGGGCCCCATTTCTGATTTTCGTTGTACAAAGCGAAGATGTTCACGTCGATGGCTTCCCCCGGCCTGGCCGGTGTTCCCACCGGAGGCTTTGCCGTGAATTTTTTCACTATATTCCGGTTATACGTGGCCGCATTGTATATGTTAGCTCCGATTTGATCATAATCACCGTCACTAGGCCAACCGGTTTCCGCTATGTACAACGGAATATTTGGGTAGCCGAGTTTTGTCATGGCGAAAACCATGGAATCGAGCATTTGATCCAACAAATTATGGTAGACCAAACCTGAAACCGGATCCTTAAAAGAAGTGTTTTTGGCTGACAACAAAGCATAGTTAAGGCTAATTTTTTTTGGCTTATCAACCCACTCGAAATAAGGATACAAATCAACAAAAAAGTAAGATTTGGTGGAGTTCAAGAAATGTAGCATTGGCTTCATGAATTTGATGGAAATGTCGGACCTGAATGTACCATTGGAAGGCCTAAAAACTGAGGATTCCAAGGCATCAAAAGCAATTGGAGTGCCAACTTTAATAGCATTGTGGAGGCCAAAGGTTTTGAGGGATTGGTAAATTTTGTTCATGGCGGGGACAAGGTAAAACTTGTATTGATTGTTCCACGGACTCAAAATCTCGTTTCCGACTAGGATAACGGTGATTTTGGTCTGAGGATAAAAGGGAAGTACATTGGTTTTGACCCATTGGTCGGAAATGTGTTGATCGGAGGAAATGTCGCCAAGTTTTTCATTGGGGACCATAATAGTGATAGTTAGATTGGTACCTTTGAGGGCATTGAGAATGCTCGGGGTTGCATCATAGATCTTGACATTGGGGGCTTTGAGCTTGTTTTGGAGGTATTGAACTGATGTTGATGGAGTTGGGAGGTTGTTTCCCAGTTGGCCATAGCATACTCCGATTTTAGCTTGGACTAATGTCAAATGGAATGAAGAAGAAATGAAGGCAAGAAGAAGAAGATTCACTACAAACAGATTTCGGGTTTCTGACATTGAGTATGAATTACAACGACTGCGACGTCCTTCTAGCTCTTCCATTTAAATAGACACATGCTCTACTTTAGTTAACACCTAGATTTCGAATACTATGTAGATGTTATGTGGAATATCTTTAGTACAAGTGGACTAGTGGAGTAAGTTCCTTTCGTTTTTTCTTTTTTCTTTTTCTTTTTTTTTTTTCTAAATCAAAAATATGTTTTACAGTTTTGAAGTGCTTGGGATTCCAACTAGTCGTCCCCTTTCTTTTTCTTTTTTTAAGAAATCTTTTTTTAAAAAAAAAAGAAAAAGAAAAAGGTTTAACACGAGTCTTACTGTATTCAGATGTTGACAAATAACATGTAATTGCAATATTGTATTATCTGTAAGACTGTAACTCAGTGCTAGTGGACTAGTGGATTACACAAAAAAAAAAAAAGGAAAAAAATCGCAAGTGGTACACTTATTTTTATGATTAGTTTGAAATAGTGACCGTTTTGTTTAGTTCGACTAATTATTTATTTTTTTATTTTTGAAAAATGCAACTGCCAACGTTCTGCCGTATACTATACGCTGGATTTTTTTAAAAATATTTTTTTCCAGATTGCAAAGATCTAGTGATGCATGCACACTTCTAGTGAACAGGACAAGGTTCGACTTAACATCCTCCTAGATGGAAGGTTTATTTTTTAAAAAAAAGAAGAAAAAAATTACTTCTTCTTCTTTGTTTTTAATTTATATTTTTTTCTCTATTCCAAAAAATTGTCCACATTAAAATTATAAATTTGTACATATAATAATTATCTTAGCTCTTAAAAGAAGATCTAATTCTGCGCATCAATTTGTTTGAATCATGTATGATTTCTCGACAAAAAAAAGATTGCACCGTACCCCATTAGCCACAAATTATTTAAGCATGAAACTCTAAAGTAATCAATCATTCAAAGAATTTCACTAGGAAACTGGCAAGACAAATAACTCGGGTCCTTGATAGTTTGAACGGCAAGCCCATTGAAGAAGCATGCTGTCCCGTTGTTCCTATTCTGAACCCAATAAGAGCTAACCACGTAACTTGCATGTAGGAGGAACCAATTAGGTTTGTAACAGCTTCAACCAGGCTGAATGGCTGCACAAGTCTTGTTGTTCTTCTCACAAATGTAGTCAATCGCACTTCTTAATTGACTCCAGTTTGCGCCTTTAGCTACCACACACCAAATCTTACCTTTGTAAGGCTCATTGTTTGTGGGCTTGGGCAAGGGGTCGTAGGTCCAATCGGGTGACGTTTCCGACAAATCGATATCATAAATATGACTCTCATTAGGGTACAACAACCCGAAGTGTCGCTCTGTACTTGGGCCGGGTTTTTTATTTTCGTTATACAAAGCGAAAATATTTATCGGGATACTAACGCCCGGCCTTGCCGCGCGTTCCTAACGGAGGCTTGGCCGTGAATTTTTTCACTATTCCGGTTTTATGTGGCAGCATTGTATAAGTTAGCTCCGATTTGATCATAATCACCTCCACTTGGCCAACCGGTCTCAGCTACATACAAGGGAATATTTGGGTAGCCGAGTTTCACCAGGGCAAAAACCATTGAATCAATCTATGTTACCCGAACTCTTCAATTTGGGAAGAATACCCGTGTCGTGTCGTGTCAACACGGTGTGGATATGAGTGTTGGGTGTGGCATTTTAACCTAAAATGTTCAAGATTTCTAAAATATTAACGAGTCGGCCAAGGTGGTATCAGATCCCCGCACCCGATACGACACCCGTATCTGAGTCAAGGTAACATAGGAATCAATCATTTGATCCAGCAAATTAGTGTAGACTAAGCCCGAAACTGGATCCTTAAAAGAAGTGATTTTGGTGACAACAATGCATAGTCGAGACTAATGCTTCGGGGATTAGAATCCCACTCGAAATAAGTATACAAATCGATATAAAAATACGATTTGGTGGAGTTCAGGAAATGAGCCAATGGCTTCATGATTTTACTGCAAATATCAGCCCTGAACGTGCCATTAGAAGGCCTGGAAACCGAAGATTCCAAAACATCAATAGCTTGTGTAGTGCTAACTTTAATAGAGCTGTGAAGATGGAAGTTTTTGAGGGATTGATAAATGGCCTTCATGGCAGGAACAAGGTAACTCCAATATTGCTTGTTCCTTGGGCTTAAAATCTCGTTTCCGACTAAAACAGTGGTGATATTTGTCTGAGGGTAGAAGGGAAGTATATAGGTTTTGACCCACTGGTCGGAAAGGGTTTGACTAGAAGAAATGTTGGAAATGATTTGATTAGGGACCATGATAGTGATGGTTAGATTGGTACCTTTGAGGGCATTGAGAATACTTGGGTTTGCATCATAGATCCTGACTTGGGAGGCATTCAGCTTTTGGAGAAGTTTTGTTGATTTTGATGGACTTGGGAGACTGTTCCCCAGTTGGCCATAGCACACTCCAACTTGAGCTCTGACTAATGCAATATTGAAACAAGAAAAAACTAATGGAAGAAGAAGAAACAACACGCGGATGTATTGGATTATTTGTGCCATTTTTATCAACAAAATATCTTGTTGAATGAGAGCAAGAGAGCCCTGGTTTGATAGCTCGAGCTACTAGTACTACGTCTCTTCACGCATCTAGTTTTTGGGAATAATGTCTTCAATATGTATATTTTTATTCCTCTATAAATGAATCTAATTGCGCTGCACCCTATGTTAGAAATGATAACCTCATTTTTTTTTTCTTTTCTTGAACGAATAAATGATAACATTTCGTAAGTTACTCCCTCCATTCCAAAATAAGTGTCATTCTACACTTTGCACATACTTTAAGAAACTCTTAAATAGGTTAATAAAATTACTTTAATATCCTCAACCAACCCCACTAAAAAAATGTCCACCAATAGTATTAATTCTTTCGAGGGTAATTTTGGAAACTTTGGACAAAAAGTGCATTGAAATGTGAGAACGACACTTATTTTGAAATTTCTCCATTTTGTTAAAACGACACTTATTTTGGAACGGAGCGAGTATTAAGGATGCTTGACAATATAAGTTTTCGATTTTTGAGTACAGTATAAGTAAATACTCTCTCTATTTTTTTTTTATATGTCTTTCTAGAGAAATCATCAAAACCAAGAAAACATTAATTAATGTAGTAAAAATACAAAAATACTCTTATTTATTATCTATACAATTCATCACAAACCAATAGAAATTCATTATAAATACTGTTTCATTTCTAATGCAAGGGTAATATTGATAAAAAGTGATCAAATATACCTCGATTTGTGAAAACGACATATATTTAAAAAAATTCACCGAATCTTAAAACGACATATCTTTCAAAATGGAGGGAGTAGGAAAATTATTATTTAACGCCAAGTAGCCAAACCCTGAGAGAATCAAGATTCAGAAGACATTGATATTATGAGCAGTGAATTTCAAGGTACATTTTCCTTGAAATTCCATCAAGTTTGTTCCCCTTTTAAATTTTACACGGTAAAATATGTAAAATATCTTGTATTCAGGTACGGCCAAATAACATGTAATTATGTTCACTGTAAAACAAATGGAACAATTTCTTTTTATTGGTTGATTGAGTGTTTTCTTTGGTATTAGATGCAAATGCAACAGTCGATCGTCAACCATACGGTTCTACTACTATAAACATTTTCCAGATTGCAAGCTACGTAGCCCGTAAATTTTAAGTCTAATTAAAGAGGCTTGATAATTTCTCCTCATAGATGAACAATTTATTGTACATGTACCTCCTCCGAGATTAATTTAGTTAATTTGATGCACCTTGAAGGAATTTTTCATATGTGATTGTGTTATATTGAAAAATCTTTACATGTCAGGGATTCGTTACAGTTCATGGGAAACCTAAGAAAATCATACATATTAGTACTTGAATAATCCTAGAGAGATGAAGAGAAATCTTAAGCGTTAACCTTTGCATGCTAATTAAGCTGTAAAGAAGAGCATCTTTGGTAGGACTAGCTGCGTTTAGCCCTTTACCAGAAGATCATTCATATTCTCTCGGAAAAATAGTACCGCATGAACCACAAAACAATAGATAAAAAAAAAAAATCCCTCTAAGTTCTTAGAAAAAATAAAAAATAAATGCTGTATAATTTTACAAATGATGTGTGTCAATGTCTTGGAGTATAAACTCTGATCAGTCAGAGATTTACACTGGGAAACTGGCAAGACATATAACTTGGATCCTTGGTAGTTTCAACGGCGAGACCATTGAAGAAGCACGTGGTGCCGTTGTTCCTGTATCGAGCCCAATAAGAGCTAAATGCGTAACTTGCGTGTAAGAGGAACCAATTAGGCTTGTAACAACTCCCACCAGGCTGAATGGCTGCACAAGTGCTATTATCCTGCCCACAAATAGTATCCACGGCGCTTTGTAATTGGCTCCATTTTGCACCTTTAGATACCACACACCAAATCTTACCTTTATAAGGTTCATTGTTAGTGGGTTGGGGCAGCGGATTGTAAGTCCAATCCGGTGTCCCTCCCGACAAATCTATATCATATACATTGGTTCCATTAGGATACAACAACCCGAAGTGGCGCTCTATACCTGGTCCGGGCTTTTGATTTTCGTTGTACAAGGCAAAAATATTCACCGGGATACTAACACCCGGCCTGGCCGGAGTTCCCAACGGAGGCTTGGCCGTGAACTTCTTCACCAAATTGCGGTTGTAGGTGGCAGCATTGTATATGCTTGCTCCGATGTCATCATAATCGCCACCATTTGGCCAACCGGTTTCAGCTATAGAGAATGAAACATTGGGGTACCCGAGTTTGGTCATTGCGAAAACCAACGAATCCAGCATTTGATCCACGATGTTAGCGTAGCTCAAACCCGAGACCGGATCCTTAAAAGAAGCACTTTTAGCCGACAACAATGCGTAGTCGAGACTAATGCTTCCTGGCTTCATAACCCATTCGAAATAAGGATAGATATCCACAAAGAAAGAGGATTTGGAGGAGTTCAAGAAGTGTACCAATGGTTTCATGACTTTACTAATGTCAGACCTAAATGTACCATTAGAAGGCCTTGAAATTGAAGATTCCAAACAATCCATTGAGAGTGGAGTGCTAACTTTGATAGCGCTGTGAAGACGAAAGTTTTTGAGAGATTGATAAATTGCCTTCATGGCAGGAACAAGGTAAAACCAATATTGTTTGTTCCATGGGCTTAAAATCTCGTTTCCGACTAAGACGGTGGTGATTTTGGTTTGAGGATAGAAAGGAAGTACATTGGTTTGAACCCATTGGTCCGAAATGTTTTGGTTTGAAGAAATATTGGCAAGAATTTCATTTTTGACCATAATTGAGATGGTAAGATTGGTACCTTTGAGGGCATTGAGAATGTTTGAATCAGCATCATAGATCTTCACACTGGCTGCATTCAGCTTTTGGAGGTATTGAATCGATTTTGATGGAGGTGGGAGATTGTTACCACCTTGGCCATAGCATACTCCAACTTGAGCTGTGACTATTAATGCGTTGAATGATGAAAAAATTATGGCTAGAAGAATAGAGAGAACAAAGAAATGTTTGATTTGAGCCATTTCATGAATAAATTGTTTGCTAATGGAGAAACCCGATGAACTCGATTAGATAGATATAGAGGGAAAATCAAGAGAATCAAGAGCCCCCCCAAAAAGAAAGAAAGAATTTGCACGGAAGAGCTGTGAAAGTCAAGGCATTCTTCTTGAGATTCCATCAAATTAATGCCTCCCATTTTCCTATTTTACGAATTTTGGGGTGCCACATGATCAGTATTATTGTATTCTAGTATGGCCGACAAGTAACATGGAATTAATAATACGATATTCAACTTTAAATTATGATTGTTTGATTGCCCGGCTTTTAAGTTTGACTGCTTAAATCGTAGAGTTAAATGCAAAAATCTAAACTTGGACTTTTTTTATTAAAAATAAAATAAAATTGTTTTTCAGGTTGTGAACTAGCCCCTACAGAGATTTATTTGGATCCTCTTCGTTTGTTCCATGGTCAGTAGTAAGTGATAAAGTGAAGATTGTTATTTACTCCCTCCGGTCATAATAGTACGTAAGACCTAAATTAAATTTAGATTTAATATAAATTTGTACTTTATAATTAAGACAAAGGGGGTACCTTGATATCAGTGTCCTATTTTATGTATTCATTCCCTTTAAATTATTGCGTTGTTTGAAAAGTTAAAGGTACAACTTAGACATGTTAGTAAAACTGATGGAAAATAAAAGAATTGGAGAATCGCGAAACCTTCTAAATGAAACTAAACTGGAAAACACACCTGAAATGAAACGTTATAAAATCTTATTATCTCTCAAGAAAATAAACTTCCAAAACACAACCTAATTACAACCTAGTTAATCTCGTGCAGTCATTTAGTGTGCTAAATGTTAACTTTCAACCAACTGAAATGTTTAATCTTCAATAAAAATTGCTTTATTCAGGCTTATCTCATCTAAAACTACATAATTAATTATATCCGACACCACCATCTTCATTTAATTTGGTATGAAAGAATCAATTTGATATGTAAATGAACTCGTTTGAAGAACGTATTTTATTGCAGTAGACCGAGGACCATCAAACGAATTCATGTGCTAGTTCAAGTTGTATACAGATAAATAAAATTAAATAAATGCAGTAGACAGCTCCACCTTCATCGCCATAAAGATCTCCGGAGTTGACACAGGCCGTAGACGATAAGCATCGAGCATGTTCTTCCTAATAATTATGAGCTTTAAGTGAAAAAATTCTAGCTAGAACCTTTGGCCAACTGTTTCTCTTTCGGTTCTTAGAATTATATAATTTGTTTTTGTTGTGTTTTTTAATGCAAGTGTATTTACAAATATGCGTGAGCAAAAACAATTTCTAACATAATAATTCAAGCTCCATCTCATCGATCAGTTATCAGTCCCTATTTTACCCGACGATTTAATTGTGGAGATCTTGTTGATCGAAGTTAGGGATGAAGGACATATGTGTCGCTTGTTCCATAATTGTTTTCCTCCTGCGTCAACTAATTTTTGTTTGATGAAAGAGCACAAGTGTATGGAGAAAAGAGAAAAAAAAAAAAAAGAAAGAGTGAACCTCAAAACAAGTCATTAACCTTTAATATATTTCCATTCTAGGTCAACAATTAAATTTATTTGTAATACAGATTACCTTACTAAAGTTTTAATCCATTTCAGATTATTCTGTTATTTTTGACCGTTAAATAGCGACGGAAGTCCATTGTCACATGTTTTTGGGTTCAAGGGTATTTTTGTCATTTTTTTATTTTATATTTTTTTATATTTTTTTATTTTTTAATCTTTTAATTTTTTTTTTTACAATTCTTCTTCTTAATTCCTAACTTGTATATACTGGTAGTATAATTCTAAATTTTAAAAATTTATTTTTCTTTTGTATTTTAACTTCTAGATTATAAAAATTTTTTTAAAAAAATTCAGAAATAAAGAAAAAAAATTCGAGTTAAAGTAAACATGAAAATTAATAATTTAATTTTCATGTTTACTTTAATCGAATTTTTCTTCTTCATTTTTTAAATTCTTTTTAAAAAATTTTTGATAATCTAGAAGTTAAAATACAAAAAAAAAAAAATTTAAAATTTAGAATTATACTATCAGTGTATACAAGTTAGGAAGTATAAGAAGAAGAATTGTAAAAATAAAAAATAAAAAAAATTAAAGATTAAAAAATAAAAAAATAATAAAATGACAAAAATACCCCTGAACCCAAAAGAATGTGAAAAATGGATTTCCGTCACTATTTAACGGCCAAAATTAATAGAATAATCTGAAATAGATTAAAACTTTAATAAGGTAACCTGTGTACAAATAAATTTAATTGATAACCTAGAGTGAAAATATATCGAAGTCTGATGACTTGATTTGAGATTCACTAAAAAAAAAAACACTAGGTAGCTTCGTTAATATTCATATTGGTGAGTTGTGATCTTCTCTCCAGTTTTATTATAAGGCAATTGATTTAATTTTAAAACTTGCGCGTTATAAAATTGATGAATTGTCTCAGTTATTATTACTTCAGATTGAAGTCGTCCATTCTTCCCTCCTTGGCTTTACAATTATTTGACAAAAGGCAAGAAAGAACAAATTTGCAATTTCTTCGATTATTCGTCTGCAAAAAGCTGCTTCTTCTTCTTCTTCTTTTTTTTTTTTTCTAAAATCATCATCCAGTATCAAAATTCAAAGTTTAAACTACATGATTAGAATCATGACGTCCTTATTATACAATTTGGAGTAATTACAAATCATCAACAGTAGTAATTCAAAAAAAAAAAAAAAATTACCACTAGTCAGCTACTGCCAACAATCACCGCTAAAAAAAATAATTTTTTTTTTAAAAAAAACACCGCTAACTGCCTCCGGTCTCCAAGGCTCTCGTTGACTGCTGTAAAATTAGAAATTTCAGAGGGGAAAAAAAAAAAAGAAAAAGGAAAAGAGAGTATGTATAACACGTATTTATCTGTCATTTTTTCTTTTTACAAAAAAAGGAGGTGAAAATCTAAGTGACTAGTACATATACAATCGACGGTGAAAGGGCAATAGAACTAGTTGTAGAAAAATTATTGGGTACAGTTGTTGTATCATGATTTTTAGTGCAACAAGTATTAGCACCCCTATTTTGGTGATATAATTCCCGTATAAATTATCTCTCTCCCCCCGAAATTACTACTTTATCCATATTATTATATCTGCACAATTCTACGTGGTACAGCAGCTGCACTGAATAATTTTTCCTAGTTGTATTTATTTAGATGTAGTCGTCCCATCGAAGAATAAACTGTATACGTATTTTCTTTAGGTATCAAAATAACAAACTGTACTTATGTTGAGGTTTTACTTTCGGGTAATAGTTACAACGGTTTCAATAATCTCCCCATTATTGATTTTTTATTAAAGCATTTTTAGTGGTAGTTAATAAGAAGTAAATTACTCTCTCCATTTTAAAATAAGTGTCGTTTTAGCAAAATGGAGAAATTTCAAAATAAGTGTCGTTCTCACATTTCAATGTACTTTTTGTCCAAAGTTTCCAAAATTACCCTCGAAAGAATTAATACTATTGGTGAACAATTTTTTAGTGGGTTGGTTGAGGATATTCAAGTAATTTTATTACCCTATTTAAGAGTTTCTTAAACTATGTGCAAAGTGTAGAATGACACTTATTTTTGGAATGGAGGGAGTATTACTTTATTACAGTCATCACCATTACATGGAATGTAAGAAATTCTGATGGTGTAAGGTTTCTTACACTGTTGAATACATGGTTGGGTGGGCCATCATTTAATTAATGTATATTATAAATTAAATTCAAATTTAAAAATGAATAAAAAAATTAACTTATAGCTCAATTGTGGGTCCATGATCATTTAAGAGCATATTAATTATATTAATTTTTATAGTATAAAACCAATATAAGAAAAAGTGTAATATGATAAAATGCTGACACGGAATCCTCTGATACCCGCAATGGTGTAAACCATTGTGGATGCTCTATAGGAAAGCAAAAATGGTAAAATTGATCTTCCCGCTCTTTGAGTAATAGAAAAAAAAATTATTAACTTCTAAAGACGGATATATAGCATCTAATCGCTCTGTTAAATGTGAACAGATGGGTCACCTTATAATTACTACAACATACATTTAATTCTCAATAATTCGAAGATATTGTGTCGAGTTATGATACTCCCTCCATTCCAAAATAAGTGTCATACTACACTTTGCACATAGTTTAAGAAACTATTAATTAGGGTAATAAAATTACTTGAATATCTTCAACTAACCCCATTAAAACAATGTCCACCAATAGTATTAATTTTTTTGAGGGTAATTTTAGAAATTTTGGACAAAAAATGTATTGAAATGTGAAAACGACACTGATTTTGAAATTTCTTCATTTTGCTAAAACGACACTTATTTTGGAACGGAAGGAGTATCTTTTGTTCTTCTTTTCTTTGTGGGAATAATTACAAAGGAAAAAGGGGAGATTCAGTATGTGTTATGGCTAACCTTCGAAGTTCTTTGATTTGTTCAATTCATACATTCTCTTTATTTTGTTTCAGATTTATAGTTGAGCTTCATCTATTTGCCAACCAAATCATGGTCTTTTAGGGTTAAAAAAGAGAGAGAACAAAATTAAAAGGAAACTGAAAATATGTAAAAGTTTGGCCGTGAAGCGAAAAAGAACTAGCTAGAGGGGGAAGTGAATAGTAATAAGTAAAGGGAAGTGAGGAATAACTTATTATTGCTAGAGAGAGGTAAAATGCCAAATGGTGAGGGGCGGAAAATAAAAAAAGGTTTTATATATACAAGTTATATTAACGGAATTTCCTGATTACAAGGAAGATGAACAAGTGCGAATTGAAAGAATGATTAATGATGAATGAGGAGTATTTTCCACGTTTGTTGTTCCCCTTCAAAATTTCACAATACATTAGAAAAATAACATTAAAGGGAAATCGTCATCAGATCTCTATATAGTAAATAATATAATTGGTTAAATTAACGAAGACAAAATATCATAATACCAATATTCCTTCCAAAATAAAAAATATCATACCAATGTAATTTGAAGTTTTATGGTAAAATTGGAGGGGAATAATATGTTACTCCCAAAATTGAAATAATAATAGTAACAATAATAAGGTTCGTTAATTAGGAAACAGAATCATAGTCAAAGAAGAAAAC